GGAATAGGGCTTTGATGCTAGAGCTCTTACTTGATATATTATAGATACCTGCAAGTTACTGGGAGGAGAGGGAGAATCACTCAGAATTTCACATAGAAAGTTTCCTAAATTTTCTCTTTAGAATTCCAACCAACTCTTCAATTATCCCAGCTTACAGCAACAGCTAAAATAGCTTCCTCTATCTTTCCATGCCGCATTTTCTTTGTATATGATTGTTACAACACCCTGTGCTACCTCTCTCCCTGAACAGCCCCATCTGCTCACCATACCAGGCCAATCTTGTACAGCCTAAGAATTTAGTGATTCTATGGCTTCTACTCCAGCCTTATATCTCTCTATATCTCAGTCTCCCTATCTGTGAAAATAAAGGGATATGTGTGTATGTGGGGGCAAAGTTCATAATCACAGTGTCTAGCTCATAAGGTTATTGCAAACGTTAATGAGTTAGTATACATACAGTTGTTAGCATGGCACAAATGCTATGAAAATGTTAAGTAATATTATTTTTTATCATAAAGAGAAGCCAGAGTGATTTCCTAGGAAGTATAGTTTATTTTATTTAAAGTGAGTTTCTTAAACAAAAAAGTCTTGATCTTCTTAATTCAGCTTAAAAATTCTGCCTTTTAATGAAGCTGTTTAAACCACTTATTTCTAATATAATTATGGATATGGTTGAATTTAAATATATCGTATTTCTCCTTGTTTTCTATTTGCCTCAGTAATATTTGTTGCTTTTTTGCTCGTATTCTGCCTTTTTTGGGATGAATTGAGTATTTTCCTGATTCCAGTTTATCTCCTATATAGGCTTATAAGCTATAAAGTTTGTTGTGATATTTTTATTGTCTCCTTAGAGTTTATAATATACATCTTATTATAGTCCACTTTCAAATGATATTATTAAATATAATGTACTCAATATGAACCTTGCAATGGTATACAGTTGTCACTTAATATTCATGGGGCATTGGTTCCAGGATCTGCTGTGGATACCAAAATCTGCAGGATGCTCAAGTCCCTTACATAAAATGGTGCAGTATTTGCCTGTGACTTTTGCACAGGCTCCTGTATACTTCAAATCATCTCTAGACTATTCTAATACCTAATATAATGCAAATTCTATGTAAATAGTTATGCCATATTGTTTTTATTTGTATATTTTTTATTGTTGTATTGTTATTTTTGTTATGAATATTTCCATGTGTGGTTAGTTGAGTCCGTGTATGCAGAACCTATGGGTTTGGAGGACTGACTGTATTTCCACTTCTCCTCCCCCCTTCCAGTCTTTATGTTATCATTGTCCTGCATTTTAATTTTGCATATGTTTAAAAAAATGCACACTACATTTAATTATTTCTGTTTTAAACAATCAATAGTTCCTTTAAAAAGCTTATAAATACTAAGAAAAAATGTTTTATATTTACCTTCATAATTACCATTCTAGTGCTTTGTCAATCCTGACTTCCCTGTGGTATCATTTTTCTTCTGCTTAATGGACTTTATTTAGCATTTCTTACAATGCAGTTGATTTATTTTGGCCTTTGTATATCTGAAAAATCTTTATTCTGCTTTGTTTTTGAAAGATATTATTGAATTGCAGACTTACAGTAATTTCTTTTCAGTACTTTAAAGATGCCTAAAATTGTCTTCTGGCTTGCATTTTTATACCTTCTCCTATGTACAAAATAGGTCTTTGCTTCCGGCTGCTTTTATGATTTTCTCTTTGCCATTGGCGTTATGATTCATGCTTGTTGTACTTGGGTTTGTTGAACTTCTTGGCTCTGCGGCCTATTATTTTCATCAAATTTGAAAAAGTCAGGCAGTATTATTTCAAATAATTTTCTGACCCAATTCCTACTCTCTTTTGTGGAACATAAGTATACATATATTAAGACAACTTCAAGTTGTCTCACAGCCCACTGATACTTTCTTCTTTATTCATTTTTTAAATTCCCCTTTCTCCTGAGTTTCTTTACAAATAATTTCTTTTGCTATGTCTTCAAGTTCAGTGTCATTTTTTTTTCTGCTGTTATCTAGAGTATTTGTCACAGGACAAATACCACATAACTGTTAGGTAATAATCTTATATCTATCTCAGACATTATCATTTTCACCTCTTAAAGTTCAGTTTGTGTCTGTTTTATACCTTCTGTGGTCTCTACTTACCTTTTTAAACATATGAAATACAGGTGTAATAACTGTTTTAATATCATTTTGTGGTAAATCTAATACCTATGTCAATTATAGGTTTTCATTCATTGTTTTATCTGGTTAGTATGGGTTGTATTTTCCTGCTTCTTTGTCTGGTAATTTTTGATTTGTTGTCAGACTGAATTTCATCTTGTTGAGTGCTGGATGTTTCTTTAGCTTTGTTTTGTGATGCAGTTAAATTACTTGGAATCATTTTAATTTTTCAGAAGCTTGCTATTAAGGCTCACACCTGAAATCCCACCAGTTTGCAGTGGCCAAGGCAGGAGGATCATTTGAGCCCAGCAGTTCAAAGCTGCAGTGACCTATAATCACACTGCACTCTAGCCTAATGAAACAGAGTGAGACCAGACATCATCTAAATGAACGAATGAATGAATAAATAAGAATTCTGCTTTTAATCTTTGTTAGAGAGAAAGAGCAGAATTTAGTCTAGGTAATTTTTCCCATTCTTGAGGCAAAACCATCCTGAGTATTCTACATCATGCTTTGTGAATTGAGAGGTTTACTACTCTGGCTGGTAAGAACAGACACTACCACTCACTGAATCTCCAAAACAAGAGAAGTTCTACATACTATGAATTTTACTGGAATTGTGACTCTGAAACATGTCACTGAATTTTGCTACTTAGGCATGTACTTTTAAATGATGCATTAGTCACCATAAATCAAAGAATGTAAAAAAAAATGAAAGAACCAGAAATCAGAGAGAAAGAGAGAAGGACCAGCTAAAGTGTCCCATTGCTAACTAGTAGTTTAAAGTTCAACAATTTATTCAGACCCTGACTCCTTGAGAATTTGACTGAGTAATAGTTAAACTATCTTCTAGACTAATTTTATAAGTCTGAAAACAAATAAATCAGAAAATATATTTATATATATTGAATACCACTACATGAAGAATATGTTTAAAAATGTATGGTTAGGGAAATAAGATTTAAACAAAACAATTTTGGAACTAATGCATTAAATATAATAGTGATTCCTTGAGACATAGTGAGATAGACCAGAATTTGTTTTTTGGGAAATCCTAAAATAAAGGCTAAGCTGCTTTCACAAAGTAAATGAGATAGAAGTTTCTCTCTTTCAAATACTGTTTGGTCTATTCAGGCTTTCAAGGAAGTGCTACTAAACACTGTCATTTTGTGGCCTAGGCTAATTCTATTTCTTTTTATCTCCTAGGGCGTTGATTTTGTCCACATGGTTAAATCTAGATTGTTGTAGTATGCATATGGTGATTCATGGGAATAAGGGAAAATAAATCCAGGGCAAGTAATATGAACATTGCACATATAACTTCTTCTCACAGACCATGAGTGAGAATTTAGTGAAGTGGCCAAACAAGTTACAAAGGAGGCTGGAAAATATATTCCCAGCTGGATAGTTACATAGCTATCTAAAATTGTTTTATCATGCAATAGTGTGACATAAAATGGGCTACTAGAAGTAGAGAAAGTGTGCTCTGATTGATGACCTAGGAACATGGACCCATGATTTAGCAAATGTGCACAATTGCACAGTGACAACAATATTATATACAAATTCTGAGTGCCTACTAAGAGAGAATCATTTTCAGGTGTATAGGTAAAGCATGGCGAAGTTTTAACAGAAAGTGTGTATTTGCTAGTTATACAATCTCTGTTTGAAATACTTAAGGTATATTTTTTTGTGTGTGGAAAGGATATTCCTATGGGTAACCACAATACAATGAAAAATGTTGATCCTTTTCAATATGTTCACATCCTCATTTGCCACATAAACCACATCTACAGAGCTCTAGAGAAGAAAGGAAGAATGGATTTTACAGGACAATTTGAAAATTTTATTTCTGCCTCCATCATTTCAAAGTTGTTTGACTTTGAGAAAGTTACTTAGTTTCTCTGAGTTTCACTTTTTCTATATGTAAAAGTTAAAGAATAGCACTTATTTTCAATAAATTTTGTAGAGATTAAATGAGAAAATGTATATGAAAATACCTAGAACGTGGTGGGCATTCAGTAATTTTTATGTGGATGGTAAAACCAAGATGATGAACTTCCTGTTGAGTTTTATGTTGTGTTCTTTATATGAAGAAGTATATTTTGTATAAAGAACTTCAATAAGGAGTGCTTGGAAGACGTCAGATCATGTGTCTTTGCAGGCCATCATAAGGATTTTGGACTTTATCTTTGGAACAATGATAAGCCATTGAAACATTTCAAGGAGAGTTATAACAGGATTAAAATTTCATATGTAACAGAGATGACTCTAGCTGCTACATGCAGGATGGATTGGTAGATTTAAGTGTAGATTTCAGTATTCCAGTTAGCTATTTTAGTAGGTCAGAAAATAAACAATTTTAGCCTGTAACAGGGGTATTGGCAGATGAGATGGACAAAAATAAATTGAATTATTAAGGAGAAGAAACACTGATAGCTTTGATGATAGATTGGATTTTGAACATGAGAAAAAGTGTAGTATAAAGTGTTAGCTATTTTAATGTATGATACCACCTAGGTTTCTCTATCATACAATTGCATGTATTCTGGTGTCATCTGCTGAAATCACTAACAGAGAAGAGGCACAAGATTTGGGAAGGTGAAAATCTTTGGAAAACATTGAGCATGCTGAGTTTAAAGAATCTTTGACAAATGTAAATAAGCATCAAGACAGGAGCTAAATACTGGCTTAAAAGCCAGAAAAGAGGTTTAGGGTAGAGATATAAATTTGGATTTCATTAGCATATAGAATTTAGGCTATATATTCTTTAATGGTTTAAAAACTCACAATTTTATTATTTCTTATGATTCTGTAGGTTGACCATTCTCAGCTGAGTGGTTCTTCTGCTTCCCATCTTCTGCTGTACTTCATTAATCTGGATGCTCAACTAGATCGAAGTGTCACACAGGTGACAGCTGGTGCTGGATGCTGCTTGTGAGCTTGGGTAGGTCTTTTGATCAAAAGACACATTTATAGGGTCCACATGTAGCTTGGCTTTCTCAGAATATGGTGATGGGCTTCGGAGTGGAAGCATACTAAGACCAAGTATTCCTAGAAAGGAAGGAAGTATACATTGTCAATTCTTTGAAAGTAGTACTAGAACTAGCACAGGTCCATTTCTACCAGGTGAAATAGTAACAGTGTCAGCTCAGATTCAAGGGGAGGAAAACTAAACTCCACCATCTTCAATATACTATATAATTTCACACATAATGGGCATAAATGAGATAGCCTACAGAGAGAACAAAAAGAAAGGGCTATAAGACAAACTAAGAAACTATTATTTAATGAACAGAAAAAAAGGAAAACTTATAAGAATAAGGAACAAATGGTTAGAAATACTTGAATTCATTTATCATATAAATATATCAAATGAAATCATGTATTCTGAGCAGAAAAGATTGGAAAGATATGCCATAAAATAATTAACAAAACCTATATTAATATACATCAAAGCAGACTTCTGTGCAAAGGGCATTGCCAGATGTAAAGAGAAATACTTCATTGTAATTAAATATTTATTTACCACCTAAAATTTTCAACAAACTTGTCAGGTCAATCCATTAGCCACTATAGAAAAACATGAATTGACATTATATTATACAGAAAAATCAATTATGAGTGAGGGCATATAGATGTCACATGAAAGATAAAATGATACAAATATTTTAAAAGAAAGCATAGGAGGAAAAACTCCACATTCTTGAAGTATTCAATTATTCCTTAAACAGAACATAAAAAACACTTAGCATAAAGTTAGAAAATTAGAATATGTTGAACTACATTAAAGTCAAAAACATTTTGTTTAAAAAACAACACCATGGCATAGAAACATAAGCAGGCGAACAAGGGTGTTTGCAATATAAGGATTTATATCTAGAATATATAAAAAAAAACTTTTACAAATCAACAAAAAAGAGAGAACCCAAATATAAAGTTTATCTAATTAGCTATTATTTGTTTTATATAGCTATTATTGGCCACATAAAAATGTGATCATCAATATTAGTCAACAGGGAAATGAAAATTAAAACCAGAAGACATTGCTGCGTACCACCTGGATGTCTAATGTTATAAAAACTGACTCTATTGATTAGAAAGGATATGGAACAACTGAAATTCTCACAAACTGCATGTAGTCAGGTAAATGAGTGCAACCACTTTGGAATACTACTTAATAGTATTTACTAAATGTGAACATGCAGTCTAAGAATCTCATTCCTTAGTATTTCTCCAATAAAAATATTGTGTACATGGACATCAAAAGACTTATATAAAACAGATAATGGAAGTATTCAAAACAGCCCCTAATTAGAAATTACTCTTATGACCATCAACAATAGAATGTATAAATTATGGCAAATGCATAAAATGAAATACCAAACAATAATAAATATTAACAAATATAGCTTTATGCCATAACATGGATTAATCTCAATAATACAATCTTTAGTGAAATAAGACATATTCAGAAGAACACTGTTTTAGTTTATTTTCTGTGGCTCTAACAGAATACCACAAACTGAGTAATTCATAGCAAAAATAAACTTATTTCTTACAGTTCTGGAAGCTGGGAAGTCCAAGAGCACAGTGCTGGCATCTGCTTGGCTTCTAGTAAGGGTATTCTTCCTGCATCATAACATGGCAGAGGTAGGAGGGCAGCACATGGTGAGGCGAAAAGAGCATGAGTGTCAGCTGAGGTATCTCTTTCTCTTTTTTATGAAGCCACCAATCCTATTGTGCAGGTACCACCCTTATCTAATGCCCTTATCTAATCCTAATTACCTCCCAAAGGCATTGCATTTCTAACACATGAAATTGGCAGAGACATTCAAAGCATAGCAAACATATATCATACAATTCAATTTTATGTAAACTCGATAAGTATTCCAAATCATTACAATTAAGGACATCGGTTACTTTTTGTAAACGGGACTAGAGCAGTGATTGGGAAGGGTCAAAATGGGGTCTTCTGGGATACAGGTTATGTTGTATTTCTTGACTTTGCTGATAGTTTTCTGAGTAGTTTGGTCATTTTATGATGATTGATGGGGCTTTACCCTTAGGATGTTTCCATGTAAATAAAAAGAAAGAAGGAAAAAGGAAGGAAGAAAGGAAGGGAGGAAGGGAGTAAAGGAAGGGGGAAGGGAGGGAGGGAGGAAGGGAGGAAGGGAACAAGGGAAGAAGGGAGGGAGGGAAGAAGGGAGGGAAGGAAGAGGAGAGGGAGGGAAGAGGGGAGGGAGAGAAGGAGAAAAAGAAATATCTGTAACCCAGAATCTCTTGTTCTTATTTTACCTTCTCCAAGTAGGAAATACTGTTTAACTTCTGTTCTTGATTATAACCTAAATATACATCCTTTCAATCTGGAGTATAGGGTGAAAAGCTGCAAATGAGAGATCCATGCTGAAATCAAGGGCACAGGATATGAAAGAAATATAAATGAGTTCACTAAGTGATTGTTACTTGGGCCCAAAATCAATATATACATAGGAAAATGTACTTATTTTTAATATCCAGGGAATCTGGAAAATGTGGCATCACAGGCAATTTAGGGTATACAGGATATTACTTACAACAGACACATTCCCACTACACGAATTTTTATCAAGAAACATGAGTTTATACCATTTCTTTTAGAAAAAGAGTATGATTGTAATGAGAGATAGTTAACGGTAGAATTCATTTGAATGTGTGAACACTTAATATTGACCATACAGAATTTTCAGTGAGGATTTAAAATGAGGTATTTGCAGGACCTTTAAGTGCAATATATTTAATAAAATCAAGGCACCCTGTTTTCTTTGCAAGTGCTAAGTTTTCCTCATCTATGTAACATACTTAGCAGTGTTAATGCTCTTTCCCTATGGCTACAAATAATCTTCAGAAAAACTTGATAAAATATTTCATCATATTCTATCTAATGTTGACACTTTTGTAGTTAAGTATAGTAATGTGCCCTTTATGGACTCATTTCATGGGAAAATAATCATTCTCTGAAACTTCCTGGAGAAAGTACAAATTCTCTTCTGTTACAAACAGAGAGAAATCTATGCAAAGCTTATTACATTGGAGTGGGGGGAGGCAGATAAAAGGACCCTTGACAATTTGCACCTCTGAAAAAGATGTCTATTTATTGTTTGACATTTTCTTGACAGTAGGTTATTGAGATTTAATGTGGAAACTTGACAGAAGCAGCACAGATTTTTTTCTGAATTGTTTTTTATTGAACTTCACACTTTGTGTCAAATAGCTAGAAGCTGGAAGAAGGATATATACCCTTAAAAAGACTGTCTCTGATGGGACCTTGAGTTTTAGGCTCTATATAATAGCAAAATAATGAATTATGATGGGCAATGGAGGAGAATCATGGTTATTAAAAGAAGGAAGATTTTTTTTTAATCTGGTCTAAAAGAGCTTTATATTCACTAAAGCAAGCTTTTAATTATTTTAACATTCAGCATTAGTCAAGAAGTTGTTTTTACCATAACTTACAATTCCTACTATAGCTGAAGGAAATTTCTTTTATTAATTGCAAATTTGTTTAATTCAGAAAAGCATTTGCTGTGTATGACAAGAAGTCCTATGGAGAATCAAATCATCTCTCATGTTTATTAAGGTGTAGTTCTAAGATATGTCTATAGTGTCAAACATGATGTATATTTTACATATTTAAGAACCTCTCATTTTCCCAAGTTTTCTCTTGTTTAAAATAAAGGGGGGATTTGACAATGATTAGATATACTAATGTTAGATAATTCAGAAATTATATTTTGAGATGTGTTATAGAAAGAAAATCAACTAAGGCATTATTAATATACCCAAGAAAATTTTGAAAGTTCAAATGTCTAGAATGGTCTGTATTAGGTATTGAATGAGGGGGAAAATGAAGTAGAAAGAAATCAAGAATAGCCTTTAGTAGCTGGCAAATTTATGGAAATAATTAATATAAAATATACTTTATGCCAAGTCATAAATGGACAAATAAGTACAGCAAGGATCATCGCAAAGCATTATTAGTATTAATTTACTTCTTACAAACCAAAATACCACATTTGGCAATGAGAATTTCAATCACCTTAAGAGCAAAATAACACAATAAATGTAGTTTATAAAAATAATGGATTATAATATCTTCAAATACTTCAACAAAGATTTCACTGAGCACCCCAAACCAATGTTTAATCTTTCTGAAATTTCTGTGGAGATTCTTGATACTTAAAAACAAACAAAAAAAAATTGCTTCAAGTTTTGAGCCCAACTGAGATGTGAACAAACCATTGGTTTGGTGGTAGTGTTTCAAAATGTTCTTGAAGTGGTGGAAAACAGAAACAAAACGAGTTGTGGGAATACACCTGACAAGCTATAAATAAATAATTGTATTTTTCACATTTTGATCTACAAGAGTTTTGTTGTCCTTTTTCTCAGCCAGAGCACACTTTATGGCTTATTGTGTTTTATATTGACTTTGAGTAGTTTGTGCTGGTGAATTTTCCTTAAAAAAATACTTATGCTTTACTACTGGTTTTTCCAGACCAATTAATCAAGAATATTCAAGTCAGAGAGGGGCTACTGGTCATCTAAGTCGAAAGAATAAATTTTTAAACTTTGAAATAATGTTATATGCCTGAAGGAATTCTCCTTCAGAGCATCCATCATTTCACAAATCCATTCAGATAGGAGTACACCAAGACATTTGACGATACTGACAATTGGTCCTTCACAAAACACTCTGTTTGTAAGGCTTAACTTTCTTGTCAGAACCAATCAATGGCCTTCAGAACAAAAACTCAGCAGTAGTGAAAATGAAAGGAAGGAAAACGTGCATTTTTTTGGTGCAGGATGCATTTCAATAAGCCTAAACCCTAAGTGACAGATGAGGAATTTAAGCTGCTCTGTATAATTCTACAAATGAGGTGTGTGAGAGAGGTTTTCATTAAAATGAGTCACTTCACACAAGCTTATGAGTCTTCCTGATGGCGTTCTCTGACTTTCATTAAGGGACTTGCAAAATGTAAAACTTCTCCATCATAGTTTTTCACACTCACTCCCTATATGTTTATGTATATGTGATATATGAATTTTACCAGGAAAACATCTTGAAAGAGTATTTGAACTGAAAAGTATATTCATAACATGAATTAAACAAGAGTTCCGTTTGATCTTTCCTTGCGAGAAGTGCATTTACATTTTCAAATGTGATCATTTATTAAAGTGCCATAGTTTGTATTAGACATTGCAGAAAAGATCATGCTTGTTTGCCAGGGTGCAGGCTTTGACTATGAGTGAACAGATTAACAAATGGGTCTTAGGGCACATTTTTATTATTCAGTGAATCTTTTAATTCTTTTTAAATGTTGTAATTATTAGAAATACGCTTTTGATGAATATCTCCAGGGCTTATAATATAGTGAAAATCAGTATTTAGAAAGTCTAGATTAATTCTATCATCACATTGTTTGAATTATTTTGAATGGATATTCATGTTGGGATTTTTATTGTAACTTCCTTTATTTTTATTATGTTTGAAACATTTGTATTACTTTTTGTAAATAAGTACATATGTTTGCACAAACTATGTTTACAACAGGAAAATGTCTCATATTCAAGTATTTAAATTCCAAGGAAGATAACTTATTAAGATAAAACTGAAGCTAAAGATTTAATATTATTCTCAGAAACTCGGTTTTTATTGTGATAAATTAATAGAGTTTGTTGTTTCATGTTTGCATAATGAAATAATTACCTCCTCTTGTGTAGCTATTTTTATGTGAATGAACTCTACATACCTTTTTAAAAATTCAATTTATGTAAGAGAAAACTAAATGACACTGAGATTTTCATGACTTACCTTGGTGACTTTTACAAGCTGAAAGTTTTGTCCTGTGATTTATGTTTAATAATTTAACACATTAATAATATTTTAGATGTGGATTGTTGAACATAAGCATGGAGATTATTTAAATGAATATTTAATTTTTATTCACCTTGCCAGAAGACAGAACATGCGTTTAATCGCCTGATATGAAAAATAAAAAGATAGTAAAAACATTAATGTAAAAAAAGTTTTAAAAGAAAAGATATATGCATATTTTGCTTTTTGGACCACAAAATAATAATTGGCTTGGTATTTGATATTATAGAATAACAATTATAGTATGATTTCCTCTAATTTTTCAACTTGAAGAGACTGGGTTTATATGAGGTTCATAATCTCAAATTGTACATTTTAAGTTGGACCTGTTTATTCAGAATATATAAAATAACATTAATATTTTATATAACGAATCTAGCACTGTGCATAGAATGGATATCTGATGAATCATACTTCTTAGTGTTTTTTTTCCATGTTTATTGCCATAAAAACTCTCTAGAGAAAGCTACCATTACGTAGGGGTGGGATGCTGACCCACTGATAGACAGTAAGGATGTTGCTGCAAGCAACATTCTTTGAAAATTGCATTAATAAATATTTTAATACCAATATGGAGAGAGGGGTGAAATTTATGGCGGCAATAGAGTCTAAAATACACAATCCACATTTGTGTATACTAGATATTTTCCTATCTATGGAGTAAATCATCAATTTAGAGAACAAAAAAAATCACAAACTCACATACACACGTGCACATCATACACACCAGGAGTGTGTGTATATCAGAAGCTTTGCTAAAACTACGTTCTAGGGACTCATACTGGGTAAGTAATACTAATGTACTTTTGCAAACTAAAATTCTTTGACTATGTGGTTCATATGATGAATTCGGCTCTATTGTAAATACTGTTTAAGGACTCTCCAGTGTACTTAGAGTATTTAATGTAGCTGAGCAGCAATTGCTGAGAGTTGACATGGGAACATCTACCCTTGAACATTTGCAAATCAAGCTGAGGCATTTCCCTCAATGTCCATTTCACCCACCTTCTCTTTTAACCTTTTTTTTTTTAATGTTCTTTTTCCACTCTCATCTTTTTACCTTTAAAAGCCTAACTATGAGTAAGGGCATGATCAAGACTGAAGAATATTATTGTCATTTCTTTTACTCCCCTCCCTGGCTTGCTGCATGCTTCATCATACCAATCTTGTCCTGCTCCCATTTCTATTCTTTTGTACACATGACTTGATTTAAATTGTTCCAATTTTGAAGACAAATTATAAATAAAATCTTTCCTTCTACAGTAGGCTGTAATTTAAAGGGACAGAAGAACCCCAATATAAAATCTTTTTTTATGTATGGAAATGGGGATATATTCCCCACAATTATTGGGCTAAAATTATCCTTGTAACCTCATCTGCAATTTTCTCTGATCGGCTAGAATTATTTCTATCTCTATTCAGTTCAGTACAGGCAAATTAAGTTCCAGGAACTAAAATTTTTGAACATTGGAGTGTTTC